CCAGCAGACTTCTATGTGTATCTTGAGATTTTCTGTTTCACACATTATTGGTCTTAGAAACCAACATTTGAATCTGAATCCGTTTCTTGTTGCTTATTTGGACTGATAATTTATGGCCAAAAATTGGATTTTTCCACAGATGGATTTGCTATTCACTCGTATCTCAAACTCATTTACCAAACTAGTGACACTTAAACGAGGTCGTCTATGAACATAGTCTACGTTGTTTTCAGTATGATTTGTTGAGGGGCAGCCCGTTTCCTTTCCTTTAATCTTCTCTAATAGCATCTTAAATTTGTTCAGCAATCATTTTCTTTAATGTCACTTTCTCATTTGAAATTTCTTATGAAGTAAAAGCTAGTATTTCTGTAGAAGTTTTACTTTTGGGATGAATATAGAGGTGGTTTACTTGGGGGGATCATAAGGCACTCACCAGCTGGTTTGGACTTCTCTAATTCCAACTTGGCTGCTTCCTGAAGAAAAATTCTCACTGTTTATCTTATGAAAAAGGGAAGATATCCATGGAGTACATAAAGAGAAACCAAGTGGAGAATCCAACCTTTTTCATCATTGTCTCTTTCTTCCATGTATCTATACCTTTGAACAAGGCTTTAGTTGATGTACCTGCCATCAACAAATTTAAGCACCCACATCAGAAGCAAAGCCATGTTACATAGATCCCGAACTCATGATAGAAAACAAATGGTATCTTCCTAGCTCGAATATTCTATTCCTGGTTTTGGTGGACTAAGATTTGAACCTAGATCCTGCCTTATTCCATTTGTTTTCCTATTGCATACATTGTTTCCTTTGTGAAAGCTGTCCTGGCTAACCGTTTTCTGGTTTAATATGAATAAAGAAAAGCAGACTCCTTAATGGGATGACACGAGAAAAGTGAAAGTGGTATGGATGATTCCATTATTCTTAAAGCATTTTCTTGCAAATATCCTTAGGTTAACAATTGCTCTTTAAGAAATTCAGCAAGCTAAATTTGAATTTGTGCGAGAGATAGAATAAGACCAACTATGCGAATGAACTTGAATCCCAAAAATTATGTAATTCTTATTACCAATGAAGAGGAGGATAAGCAGAACTGTCACCATCCAATCAGCGAACATGACATTGAGGGCAACTCCAATGCTGATTCCAAGCATAAGCATTGGCTGAAAGAGCAACGCCAAGTCGTAATCTATGAGGGGCATCTCCAATGTTGGGTGCCTAAGTCTCAGGTTATAGTATACCGTTGATCCAGCTGCACCCATGATCATACCTGCAATCCAAAATATTCAGAGGATTCTGCAAAAACTGGGATAAGCCTAAAAGCATCGAGCTTACCAATGTTATACCCAAGCTTGCTGCAGACATACTATTTATAAACACGTGTATGAATTTATATGCGAGTACAGGCATGCATGCATGACTTGAAAACAAGATAAAGACATCCAAGATTGATGTTTAATGGATGCTGGTTGGCTGTGTTCTGTCATTCTATGTCAGGTAAGTTGAAGGTTAAACTACAGGAACGAAATAGGATTATTATATTTGAGCAAAGCAGAAACTCACACTTGGAAATGGCAGTGGAAGACTTGGGGTCGAAACCAATTAAGAGAGTGAGCATTGGAACAAAAATTCCACCACCTCCAACCCCACCAACACTGCCCAACGCTGCACCAAGGAATCCAACAGTTGATCCTACAACTATTTTCCAACCAAACTCCATCTCCTGCTCAATCAATAATTAAATTCAATATCAAGATAAACCAAACTTGAAAGATCAATGACACAACGATAGGAAAGAGTTTGAAAAGGTTTCCTCTCCTTGATGTCCAACAAGCAGAAAAAAATAGCAGATGTTGTTAAACGAGCCTAGCTGGATGACTCACTCACCGGCCAGACAGGTTCATAAGAAGATTTCCCGCCCTGCCAGAGGAAGTTGGCAACTCTAACTAGCAATCCTCGTGTGTCTTCATTTTCATTATCTTTGAAAACTCGTTGGTTCCTTTTGTCTTTCAATAATCTCTCCGCAATCCCTACGTTGCTCATCATGACAAGAACCAGAAAGACCACCCATGCTATGATAGCCAAGTTTCTCTGGTTCACCTGAACTCGACCCATTTGGCTACTACCCTGAATTGTTAGCAAAGAGGGAGAGACTCTCTAACTTGTGTAAAGGAATTCAAATGGAAAAACTTATCCCGGCTTTATGTTTACTCACTCCTCTCCTTATTCCTCTGTGCTATCAATACAGTAGCACACAAAGAAAGAATGGGTTCACTCCTTTGGTACCTCCATGCTGTCTACATTTATAAATCCCACTCTCTCTTTCTCCCTCCCTATTGTACGCTGGACCGCGTGGTCCAATAACACAGTTCCTTTTTTTCTCTTTATTTTTAAAAAATTTTTTAAACTCCTATTTTCCCATAAAAAGAAGAATAAGTAAGAAAAAAAATGTTCATTTATTTCCAAATAATAAGGATTCGGTGTTTATGTTCTGTTTTAGAATCAACTGATTGTCCCCTCTCGAATCTGTACTACTCAATGTCGTTGTAAAGTGTTTAACCATTTCATCTCTTTCGAAGCTTCCAAAATCTAAACCTCGGGTTACTCATGGATTCCTTCCAACAACATGTAATTTACTGATTATCTGCCCAGTTTCTGCAGTTTCCTGTTTTTCCTACATGTCTTGGAAGTTTCGAGGAAGCTAATGAAATGCTTAGTAAACAAATTAGATGATGAGGTTTTAAACAAAATTTACCGTGACTTGACCTTTGCTAATCCAATGAGGTTAGAATCGAGAGTTCTAAGGATTTCATAGGAATGAACTTTTGCATGGGGCAGCTGAAGCCTGGACTATGTTCTGTGACTGTATCCATCACTCCTTTTTAGCCAGTTTCTTGGTTGCGACAGTGGCTGATGTTACCCACTCTTGTTCTCCGTTTTCAAAATCTAGGCTAACACAAACCAGATCCTCCCGTACTAAGTTTACGCGGCAATGGAAGCTTCATGGCTGCTTCCGAACCTAATTGGATTAGACTTCTTTCCATAGGATGAAACCCCAAAAGAGAAAAATTCTTCCAAAAAATGATTTTAGGTAAGTAGTTACTCATCAAACCATGTTCCTTAATGTCAATTTTAATGTTGCTTTTTAACTTTTGCTCTTATGTTTTCCTTCATGTCAATTTGTTTCTACAAGTGAACTGGGCAAGCCATGCGAAACAATTTTTGCGAGGACGCTAAAACAAAAGAGCAAAGCAAGCCGGTTTTGGAGGAAGCTTCCCAGAAGCAGCTTCAAGTTCTCAAGACACTTTAGTACGAACCAACGAGCAATAGCATGAAGGGCACTAGCCTGAGTCACAGGCTGAAGCTTCATAGTTGCTTCAATCCATCTTGGATCCTTTTTAAGCGGTTAATTTCTATGTAAAACGCACTTCCAGACAAAATCCCTCAAGGCATTTCCTCCTCCTGATTTTATTATCCTTGTCCTTTTGCTGTGTTTGGAGCTTTGTGACTTCCTTGTGGTCAAGAAAGCTTAGCTTCATTGAGACATGACCAGACCCCCCACAGGTTTTAACGTGTCCGAGGAACTCCAAGTTTTATGAACATCAAGTTGTGAAAAAACAGAACAAAATTGGGATGTCACATGTTGTAAGAACATTGAGGGAGCTGATTTTGAATCCAAAGTGGCTTTGTTTGTTCCATTTACATCAAATTTTGCCGATTTATCATTGAAACAAAGTAGAGTGGGATAATGTCTCTCAGGATTATATGATGTTAGATAGGAATATTGTGACCTGATGTTTAAGATATTAAATTCATAATTCATGCACATAAAAAAATAGCACATTGCATTAATCAAGAATATCCTCTAACTTTTTTTTGGTTAGATTATTCTCGATATATTCTCTCCATTTAATTGTATATAAATCCAGCACATTAATTATTTTTTAAAAAAAGATACGAAATAATTATTGAATTATAAGAGCAACTCAAATACTAATTCTAATTGAAATGTGATTTTGTGAGGGGAGTAATTGAGCCGAGCAGAATCAATACGGTATAGGCTCGAGCTCAATATGACTAAAAAACTTGAAATTCAAGTATAATTCAAGTTACTCAAATTCAATTCAATTAAGTTTTATTATCATTAATTTATATAAATTTAAATTTAAATTTAAAATAAAATTTTAAAATATATAAATAAATTTGAAAGGATGATAAGGCTTGCGAATCACTTGAGTCGAGAATTAAAAATTTGTGACTCAACTCAGCTAGTTAGTTGAGTAACTTGAGCTTCCAGAGTCGACGTGTCGATTTCGAATATTTACCGAGCCGAACCTTCTTAACTGATGAGTAATTTGATTTATTTACATTTGTTTTTTTTGAATGATTGATTGAGGCCATACAGAGTTAACTATCATGAGCCCAATTAACAGCCAACGTAGGCTCCCAAAACGAGAACCTTTTTTTGCGACAGAGCCCAAATTGGGTAGGCAGTAGGTCGATTGAAAAGGCCAAACTTGGGCAATTATTTTCACAATGGCGACCAGGGAGCTTCCATTTAGCGAAAAAGGAGAAGACTGTCAAAAACTTCCACAGAAAGCCGGCTCCGGTCACCGTTTTCTTGCAAGGAAAAGTTTGGCGCCAAAACCAGCATTTCAATCTCTCGTCATATAAACTAAATCCTCAGACCCCAACTCAACGCAAGCGGAGCTCTGTTGAACAAATTCCCCAAGCTCTCCATATCCATGTGACCCAAGGGACTTCAGGGGGTTGAGCGAAACCAAAAACGGTGTCGCTCAAGTCCCTCGAGGCCATCTCAGAATTAAGAAGCTTTCGGAGTAAGCCGTATTCAAGAGCCTCTCCTCTGTCCGCCGGTTACGATACAAAATTATTGCTATCTAACCTGGTAAAATCTTTTAAGCTTATGCGGCACCAGAAATAAGATAAACTGATTTTAGTTTTGGATGGGATGCAAGAAAAAGCAACCTTTGCTAAGCATGAGCATCAGAACGACAATGATACAATTAACATTAGTTACCCATTTCAAGCGTCCTCGAAAGGAGAGCAAACACAATAGGTCGATAGGATAAAAGCTTAAAACCACATAGCGAGTATGTCAAGAAATTTTTAAAATAAAATAAAAGTAAAACAGAGATGCCATGCACATAGTACCAGGGTTCCAACTCCAAAAGGCAACCTCCTGAACTCAGAATTCACCACATCAAAGAGAAAGCACATAGAAAACTGTTTCCTTGAGATCTTAACTAGACCAAGGTGCATTAGGAGAAAAAGCAGCTCACACTAAAGAAGAGTGACCAACTGACACTGATCTTCATGCTCCGGAACATGATTTCTGTCTTACGATCTAATCACCTATAATCATCTTCTTCCACCCCATCATAACGATCACGGTCATGGTCAGCATATTGATCATAACGATCATGGCCACCATGGGCATCCAAATCATAATCTCCCCGACCTCGATGATGCTCATAGTGCTCATAATGTTGGTCATCTAGGTCTGAACGCCTATGGCCATGCTCATGCTGTTCATACCACCCATGATCCTCATCTTGCTCACCATGATCATAATCCCTCTCACTATGCCGGTCCCGATCATGTTTGGATTCAACACGGTCATAATCAGATTCCCTATCTCTAGAGCGCCCACGATCACGATCATAGTCACCAACATCATAATCCCTGTCCTGTGTCCCTCTCACGTTCACGGTCACGATCTCTTTCTCTATCCGCTCATGGTCACGACCACGATCCCGAGCTCGATCACGATCACGTGCTCGATCGCGATCACGACCACGGTCTCTCTCTCTGTCCCTATCTCTGTCTCTAGTTCTTTCACGATCTCTGTGGTGCCTATCCTCTCTATCACGATCCCTTGGTCTGTCATGGGAGCGCTCACGAGACTTTTCTTGTTCCCTCTCCCGTTCCTTCCTCTTTCACGGGATTTCCCTGTCCCTAAGATTTCCAAGATCAATCAATACCTATAAATAATATGGTGACACCATGGCAAAAAAACTAGAAAATGGTTCTTATCACAAGATTTCCCAGCAAATGTAAGGTGGGATAAATTATTATGGCATTTGTGCTGAAATAAGTTTTAAGCCAGTAAAATAAACTTTTTATATACATTTTTCACATTGTACCAAACACTATAAAGACAAAAATTAGTAAAGCAACTCATCTAATCTTACCGGTCACCATGTCGATCCTCTCGAATCCTTGGCTCCTCAGAACGAGATGGTCCTGATTGCAGTTGCTCCCTGAGTAGCAAAAGAACATAGCATGTTTAATTTCTAGTTAACAACAGTTGAAACTGAGCCTGCCGTATCTGGTCAATCCTAGCCTGGTAATACTGGACTTCAAGCATACCAAATATCAAAACTTCAAGGAAAAAATACATAAGAGCATATGCCATGCAAACTTTTTAAAGATCAGCTTAACTCCTGTGGAAGCATGTGAACTAAAGGCTGCAGCATGCAGCCCTACTCAAAGCATCTCCCACCCCCAAAGCAATCAGAAAGGGAAAATCTGTTAAGATGGATTACTGGTATTTTAATTTTTTTATATCTTACCAGTCACTTAAATGGTAATACCCAAAGTTAAGCAGTTTCTACAAAGTAATAATTTTGAAATTTGTAAGACACATTTGTCATCTTTAACAGGGTATGTTTATACATCAGATTACAAAATGCATAGCCACCTCCCAAAATACCTTTGATTAACATCTTCACCTCCAACCCTGGTTGTTCCAAGGCCACCACCTAGCCTACGAGGACGCCAATTTGGGACTGTCCTACCACGCTCAACATCCACAAGAACCCTTCTTCCTTCAATCTTCCTTCCATCAGCTTGTTTATAAGCAGCTATGAGATGTATAAAAGCAGAGATTAGCAAAGCTCACTAAAGCCTACCAGCTCAAAAGTGACAGCATAATCAAATGTAAGCCAACCTTTCATATCCCGAGTATGCATGTACTCAATGAAAGCATAGCCTCTGGGTTTATTTGTGGATTTATCAGTAATCAACCGAACCTGGTAATCTCAAAACACAAGAAATAATTAATAAACAGTCAGAAGAAATGTATAGAAGAAAAATCTTCTGGAAGGAATCAGATAATCGTAATTGATGATGTTTGATCTCCAGAGCTAAATGCTAGCACTACAAAAAAGTTAGAAACAGTAAATCCTAAATGGCACGGCAGGCAGGCAGGCACTATGCCTCATTAGCCGTGCTCACCTTTTAATCATAGGGCTGCCACTGCGAGATGCTCACCACCACTGCTAGAGTTGCAGAAAAACTGATGTATCGTGGCATATTTACCATTTGTTGAACAAACTAAACTCCCCTTACCAGGGAATAATTTTTTAAAATAGAAAATAGTTATAGACTAGAAAATACCAGAACACCTTCTCAACTGCTGATATGTTTTTGATAGCCTTTAAAAGCCAAAAGTAAAATTTTTAGTAGCAGGAAAAGCATGGACTAAAATTTAAATAACAAAAGAAAGAGATGCTAATACTCCCAATTTGTTTTACCCAGAGCAGGAAAAAGAACAGATGTCAGCCACCTTTTGTTGCTCGAAAATAAAGGCCAAAAGGCATAATGCACAACTTCTCTACTCAACATAGTTTTTCAGCTTTGCTGTGCAGGATGAAGCAACATCTTTGGAATTGGATTGTAAAAGTATTGGGGATTGCGAAATAATCAGCCCCTTACCAGGTATACCTTTATAGGATGATTCTTAATGGTACAACAATACCTAAAGAGTGGAAAATCACCTATATCTGGAGATGGTTTCTACATCCTACCATATTAAAGCAACTTATCAAGGGGTCAATTGAAACAAACCCGTTCACCCTTACCAGTAAATAGCTGTGATACCTGTTATCCTTTTTTCAACTTGATCAGACTCCAAGTACAAATTATCACAGAACAGGCAGAAATTGGATTGTAAAAGTATTGGGGATTGAGAAATATAGTAATCAGCCCCTTACCAGGGATACCTTTATAGGATGATTCTTAATGGTACAACAATACCTAAAGAGTGGAAGATCACCTACGTCTGGAGATGATTTCTACATCCTACCATATTAAAGCAACTTATCAAGGGGTCAATTGAAACAAACCCATTCACCCTTACCAGTAAATAGGCTGTGATACCTGTTTTCTTTTTTCAACTTGAACAGACTCCACGTACAAAATATTACAGAACAGGAAGACACTCAGTATACTCATAGTTGCCAAACAGAAGTCGCACAGGCATTGCTATTTAGAACTACCATGTAAAGACAGAGTTTGCAACTACAATATGCATTACTGCATATCAAGTTTATACAAACATTTTTAACATAGGTTCTTAGTAAGCTTAGGCATATAGTAAGTACATATGTCAAAAGATTTAACCTTTTTTACAAGAAAAAATATAGTTTGATTTGAAAAAAATGGAAATCAATAAACTTTAAAACTTGAAATTTAGCTTAAGAAACTAAAATCTTTTATGAAAGAAACAGAAAGGATAAAGTGGCTGCATAACCTCTTACCAAACCTGCATGAGGGTGCTCAAAAATACCTACCCGCTTAATCGGTCCATAAGATTCAAACTCCCTTTTAATTCTACTCTCGGATGTCTCGTAATTCTGCAAAAAAATATTACAGCTAATAACTTATTCCAGAAGGGATGAATGAAAGATGAAGTTAGATGTGAAATAGGGAAAATTCACTTACAAGTCTAGCAACAAATAATGTCTTGTAAGGATCACCTGAAATGTTTGGGTCGTTATTGGGATCATCTGCTTAAAATACACAAAAAAGAAAACAAGGATTAAAAACCACAAATGCATCAGTTGCTAATAAGTAACTTAAAGAAAAGAGACTTTACAGTTTTTCAACTCCTCAGCAGCCTTCTCTGCACCCTTCTCTAGTCGTAACTTATGAATTCTGGCTCTTCTTTGTGCCTACATCCACAAAAGATCCATTACAAAAACACAAATATATGTTAAAATTTTATCCTCCCATCAAAATAAAGTAGATGGTCAAATTAACATCTTACACCAAAAGCCACTGTATAGTTACATAATTATTTTTACAACATGCTCACCCAGTTTGGACTAGAACATAGTACTAAAGCCATGTTTACATACAAACACAAGAGAAACATGACTGAAGTGATCTCAGTATACAGCTGCATCAATTGTGCATCTTATTGACATATCATATTACTGGAATGAAATTCCAAATTCAATAAAACCACAGAAGATAACAAAAGATGCACTACCAAAACCACTTTACTTATTCAAAGCATTTCATAAAAACAGAAACATAGTAACTTGTATCCTACAGGTGTTTCAGCTTCCTGAACAGGCGGAGCGTACTCAGCATCTCCTGGCTCAGCAAAGTGACTCACGAACTGTGCCATTCCTAACAAAGCCAAACAAAGCAAATCAAATCAATAAATGTCAAAATCTTAAAAGAAAATTTAAAAGCCAAATACAAGACAAAGACCTGTGTACAGAGGACATTTTCTCTTCTCCGGCGGCGGTTTAAACTCCAATGGAGGTCGAGGTTCAAAGAGCTTCAAAAGATTGGCTGTTAAACCAGTAGGATGACTTTGTCCAATCTACAAAGTTAAAACAGATTATTTAATCATCTTTCCCTTACAACAAATCAAAATCGCCATAAAACTTTCAATTGCATTAATTTTTTGGAAATCCCAGCAAATCTACATATCTCAAAATAAAATTGAATAAAACTAAATCCATCACAAACTTTGGAAATAGAAAATAAGTAAACAACAACGAAAACTCTACAATTATCTTAAGCTAACAACTCCAACTTAAAAATAATCGGATCACACTATTAAAAAGAAAAACCCTAAAATAACGAACCAGTTTGAGCTGTTGGATATTGGCGCGGTTCTGAGGGGGTTTAACGCGGGCCTGAACAGCGGCGTTTTGGTTGCGCATGAAGGCATCGTTGTAATCTCCCATGTTGAAGAGAGATCAGGGGGACTTCGCTAGGGTTTTTTCGACAAAACGAGGATTTGGTAATCTAGATTAAGACGATAAGAAGCATCGATTCGATTGTACTTTCTGAATCGGGTTTCGTAAATCGGGTCGGGGCTATCAGTAAATGGAGCCTGAAAGACGGCAAGGGGAAGAAGCTGACAAAGGGTTTTAAGGAGAGTATATATAGTTGGCTTTAAGAAAAATGTACGAGCTTTGGTTTTTCCTTTTCTTTTTCTCTGTGCAGCTTGAAAGACTAGCATAAGCCTCTCTCGACTTAATTGTAACCCCGCGTCCGAATTACGTTTGTGACGAGGGAAGAGGTTGGTGAAGTGGTGTCGTTTTTGTTTGACTTTAAAAACTAAAGTGTTCATGGACAGGGTCCTTATGGGCTCGGGCATTTGTTATTGGGCCAAAGTTGTAAACAAAGCCCATATCCGTCTACAGACATAATAACCTTTTGCTTATTAACAATAATAGAGTTTTGCATTAATATTTTAATAAATAGTTTTTTTAAAAAATTAAATCTAAATGAAAGCATGTTATTTTATTCAATAAATTGTAATAATTTTTGGTCAGACAAGATCGATTTTAAGTTTAAAAATGTTTACTTTAATTTTGACATTAAATTAAGTTAAAAATCTAAATTTTAGACACGATGAAATTTTTTTGAAAATATATCAACAAGTTTTAAAAAATAAGAAGCCACCTATTATATCTAATTCTCTAAACACAATGTGGAATAGGAAAATGATTTTCCCCAACAGGAGGATTTCTTCTGTACTGAATTACACATGTCAAGGTATAATTATTTTTCTGTCATCTTTCTAGTGCAAAGTTATAACTCAAATAGCTAATAATATTAAAAAGAAATTTATGTAGTTAAAATATGGTTACAAAAATAATCATAAATATTTTTATCTAAAGAGTTAAATTCAAATCTCATTTCTCTCAAATTATAATATCATTAATATACTTATCAGTTAATCTCTCTAAACAAGGTTTTTTTTCTTATTAGTTTAACCATTAATATACTTACCAAATTATTTAAGAACATATTAATGAAATTCTATGTGTTTGTGTTTTTTTTTCCTTTTTCAAATATTATTAATCAAAATCAATGTTATGAATGCAAATAAATTTGTTGAATCCCACTCTTGTGGCAAAAATGACAGTAGAATAATCGTAAGCATGATACCCAAAATGTAACAAAAACAAAAACAATTTCCCCTTTTTGTTTTCGAAGGTATGGGATTTTTGCAAAAATTACTTATTGATATAGAAAAATTATATAAAATGCTTGTTTGATCCGTTTTTTTTTAATTTATGCATTTTTTTAAAAGTAAAAAACAAGTCAAACAAGAATTTGAAAAAGTTTTTTTAAAAAAAATAAATTTTTTTTAAAAGCAAAATTTAAAAAAAAAACTTTAGAAAAAGTTCTTACAATCCTCTTTTTAAAAAATTTTTTTTTTATTTAAAAAATATCCTCATCTATTAAAAATAATTTCAACATTATCTATTTTTATTTTTATATAATTTATTATTAATTATAAATTTTTAAAACTTATTATTTTTTAAAAAACCTTCATAATAACTTTTAAGTTAAAAAAAAAATCAAATTAAACAGATTTGAATTCTTAAAAAAAAATAAAATAATAAAATCATTTATCTTTTTAAACATCATTAAATTCACATATAAGTAAGTATAAAATAAGAACTCACACAAATAATAGAAAGCTAGATGTGTCAATATACACGATCAAATGTCAAATGCATAAATAATACAAATGCAGATAATAAAGAGAAAAACACTTTTGAATTAACAAAGATCCCAAATTAACAGAAGTACCTGGAAATCCCAAATTTTTTTATGTAAATAATCAGTGTGTACTTTTTCTTTTTTTCTTTTTTTTGGTCAAGCTTTTTGGTCCAGTTGGTTAAATGTTGTGCTTTTGCATCTCTCTCGAGTGATCACTGCTGGAAGTTCCGTCTTCGCTGCCCCCGAATTCCTGGCTCGACAGTGCTAATTGTCTGAACTTCTTCAAGTCAGCGTTGTATGAACTGGCACTGTATTCGGAGCTTACACCAGAGCTGTAGACGGCACTATGGCCTGGCTTTATCCCCTCGTTCAGGTCATCCAGGGAAGAATCTCCTTCCAGGGCACGTACTATCTGCTTTGCGTTAACATTTTACATTAAAATCACTTGTAATGCAACTAAGCGTTGACAAATGAAGTTGGAGATCATTGCAAAACCTGGCTCATTTTCGGGCGCTTTTTGGCAGAATGTCGGATGCTGGCAGCAGCACAGGCTACCATGCGTTGCATTTCGTGGAGGTTGTAGTTAAGCTCCAAGCGTGGATCAGCCAGCTCATCATGGTTGCCATCTTCCAGTGCCCGAGCCAAAAGTGGTCGAGCCTGTTCACAGCACGTCCAAAAAAGAGCATAAAAATAAGAAGGAAAATGAAACATTAGTTGGACAGCACAGAACAGACAGAGGTAGCATTCTCTATGTAATCTTATAGTGCCGAAAGGAATTTACACTGGATACATGGCCTTTGTATAATTGTATCTACCATCAATCATTTATACTCCACTTTGCTAAGTCATGGTTTTAAGATCTCATTTTTCTGGCAATTAACATCAAAGTCTCAACTTTGAGCTCTAGTGCAAGTATTAGGTTTGGAGAATAAAGAGGAAGTAACAGAGTACAGACCCAATCGACTAAGCTCTCTTCCATTGCATTCGTAGGATCAACAGGTCGCTTTCCAGTAATGAGTTCCAAGAGCATGACCCCAAATGAGAAAACATCTGATTTCTCTGTTAACTTGCCGCTTGAGGCATACTCCGGAGCCAAGTACCTACATTATAAAAAGAAACAAAATCAGCTGTGAGTGGAATTCTAGTTTCCTCTTTCCTTTTGGAAATGCTGTTTGAATCAACCTCTTAAAGCAAACTATAGATTTCCCTCTTTCAATCTTTCTTTTTCCTCCAACACAACTAATCACAAACCAGCTTTTCACTTTTGTTTATGGACTCAGTTCCTTACCCGAATGTTCCCATCACACGAGTTGAGACATGAGTGTAGTTATCAGAAGACAGCTTAGCCAATCCAAAATCTGCCACCTATAATATGTGCTCAGTTAGTTTTTGCCAAAATAGATGTCTTAGGCTGATGTGAATGATCGTAGTGAACTTGGTAGTTCTATTTTATTGGATAATTGAGTTTCAATGATGAATTAGAACACTGGTTTTAAGAGAAGATACCATGGCTTCGAAGTTGTCGTCAAGAAGAATATTAGCTGCTTTGATATCACGATGAATAATGCGAGGATGGCCTGCATGCATGGTTCAACAAAAGAAATCAGAACTTCAGAAAGAAATGGAGAGACAGAGAGATAGAAAACTGGGAACTTACAATCTTCATGAAGATAAGCAAGACCTTTAGCAGAACCTAATGCAATACGAAGTCTGGTGGAAAAATCCATGACTGGAAGATCCTTTCCTGCAATGGAAAGTTGTAAGTATTTCAGGAGTGCAAATCACTTCAGATCAAAATCTTTGCTATAAGGGTTTTTAGTACAATCCACTATAGGACTCCAACATATTCTCCCAATATTCAGGAGCATCCCATTTGGAAGACTTAGATCATTATTTGCTTAAATCTTTTCTAGAACTTATGCACCAGGGTCCAAGACTGAGGTGTTGAATTTCTTTATGCAAGTTCTAAATGAAAAAGGATAATGAATGAACCATGAAATTAATTTACCATGGAGATGATGTTCCAGGGTATTATTTGGAACAAATTCATACACCAACATCCGCTGCCCACCAGCAATGCAATATCCAACTAGTGATACAAGATGGCGATGATGGACACGGCTAATTATTTCAACTTCAGCCTGGAATTCTCTTTCTCCTTGTCCACTGCCACTTTTTAAACTCTTGACTGCAACCTCCTTTCCATTCGGTAACACACCTTTGTGCACATATCCGAACCCACCTTGACCAAGCAGATTAGCCTGAGAAAAACCACCAGTAGCAGCTGCCAGCTCCTCATAACTGAAAGTGCTCTTATTGAATCCAAGAGCAATACTTGGTGACGGGGGTGGCAAAGGAGGGGGACGGTATGGGCCTGAGAAGTTGGAGCTTGCTTCACCGCTATAAACTGGTGCTTGGATTGGGGATGGTGAACCCCAGCTACCGCCGCCACCGGGTGGTGGAGGTGGTACTTTGACAACATGCTCTGCCCCTTGGGGACTATTGAGCCAGGGAGGATTTTGTGTGTTGTTATAATATTGATCACCACCACCTGTGCATAAACCAGATAATAGAAATAAAATTGATATCAAAGCTAGTTTCAAGATTCAATAGAAGATAAATTACAGATCATGCATATTGATTTTCCTCTCTTCACTGGATTTTAATGATCTTGATTAAAACCTATTTAGAGAAGTCCATGATAATGTTTCCTTTCGCTCTAGTTTTAACAGGAAAAATTGCTACAAGCAATGCAGGTCCCTTGCTTCGAATTAGGCTAAGATTTTTGCTAGTCCTTTAAAGCTGCAAAATAAAGGGAATTTGATGAGGGAACTCTGCTTCGTTACAATAGAAACACAGGCCTTACTGTTGGTTTAATTGACAAAGAGAACTTTATGGCAAGTATTTGTAAAATTCCAAGCTTTCTTTCCAAAGTTTCACCAATGAAGAAAAAGTGCATTCCAGGAAAAAAAAAAAGAAGAAACAACGGCCTTTGCCTTGGCGGCAGGAAAGAAGGGTATTGTTTTTCACCTTTAGCTTCATGAGATGGGTAGTACTGCATTTGCTGACGCCTTCTCTTCTTCTTCTTTTGCTGAGTGCATCTTGCTACACAGAGCACAATGAGAAGGAGCAATAATCCTGCCCCCACAGCTACTCCTGTAATGATCTTTATATCTATCTCATCACTGGACGAATCCGAGGATGATGAAACTGAAGAAGATGTATTATTAGCAGAAGAACTGTTTGACTTGGTACCACTACTTCTGGGAGGAGGTGGGGGTGAGGGGTTGCTGTTACTGTTAGAAGGTGGAGGAGGAGAACTATTATGACTATTCGGTGGTGGTGGTGGTGGTGGTGGTGCGGATGGTGATGGTGGCGGTGGTGAGCTTGCGGACGATGGTGGTGGTGGTGGTGGTGATGAGTTATTTTGTGATGAATTTGATGGTGGTGGAGCAGGTGGGGAATCTTGTGATGGAGAATTCTCAGGGGATGATGCCATTTTGTGTTAGCTTTGCGAACTTCCAGCCAAGAAACTCTCCACCCCTCCCTTATTTGCTTGTCTCAAACAACTGAAGAACCCTGGAGAAGATTGCAAGTTTAAAACCACGGAAATTGTGATAGATACAGGCCATTTAAGATCAGATATTGCGGTCATGCAAAAGCTCTAAATCTAGATTAAAAAAACAGAACAAACAAACTTCTCCTGAAGAGCATTTAACAAATTTCTAACACAAATGTCAAAGTTATACATTGATCTTCTACGATGAAATTCATGAATTGCTCTTTATGTTTATGATTGGAAACACTTTTTGGTGAATAAGTCAATATCTTTTTTTTTTCTTTGCAAGAGGAAAGAGATACCTGAATGAAGAAGACAGAAGGGTTCTCAAGAGAAAGAGAGAGAGAAAAGCCGTTGCATGGTAAAATTGCCATTCTAGAGAGGGGATCCTGTCGTTCCCCGGTGGCTTCCTACAAAGCAGGACTCTTGGTTCTTTTTCTCTCTTAACCTCTTTTGTCTCTCTGCCACCCTTGATTCGTTTGGGTTCGTTATTCTTTTTTAGTTCTTTACTATTTCCTGCTTTGCCTAGTCCTGTACTAAACCTGTGGCAACCTATTTTCTGGTTTCGAAAAACAGGCCTAAACAGTACGGAACATCAACTCCAATAACTACAAAACTCATTCCTCTTTGTCTCCAACGTGAGCGCTTATTTTCACACTTGTAACAAACAGAGCCTCACGTCATAACAGATCACTGGCCAAATATTACCACCCAAAGGTAATAGAGAAACAAGAATTTCATTAAAATTGAACGAAAAAAGAAAACCCTTTATGGCTTTGAGAAGCAAAGCAAACCGAACTCCTTAGCTATTTTTCAATATGTAATCTCAGTTTAGCACCAGGCATTTGGCCTGTTCTGTTATGCAAAATGCAGGAACAATTGGCTATACCCAATCGTCTTGTATCATTTTTTTTAAAAAAAAACCCAATTTATTGCCCCATTTTTGCATCAAAAAGGGTAAAATTCACACCATCATGAAACCAATGATATCAAAGAAAATGCCATTCTTGTTGCAAAGTAGCAACCATATCACTAGCTTCCAAATGCGAAGTTCCTTGAAAAAGCTTACAAGTATCAAGTTTCAAATCAAGAACTTCAGAAGTTTTCAGTTACAAGATCAAACCACCTCAATAATTTAAGAGAACGAAAAAGTTTAAGATACCAGCAAAGGTGAGGCTTGGTTAAGGATGTATCTCAGTAACCTCATATCTTAACCAACAGATGACACATGTACAAGAGATTTTGAAGAGGAACTGTCCAGACAATTAAGCCCATATTCCAACCATTGGATCCCTCACTGATACGAGGCTGTTCACATACGGAAGATACCCAGTACATGAATCAGCAGTCATTGTGCATATCACTTCCACCTTCTGTTCTCTCACATGGTAAGCAATCACCTTCCTCCCAAGTACAAACATCAGAATGTCATCATTAGCACCAGGCAAAGCCCTGCAGACGCCATATGTGCTCCCCACGTCATCACAAGTAAAGTTTAGTACAGTCTTGAGCCTCATATCCATATTCCCGTAAATATATATATTGTAATTATCAAATAGACGACGAGGCAGAATGTAACACAACTCCCCATGCATCACAGTTAAAGCACCATATTCTCCACTGCTGACAGGAAGTGGTAGAATCCCATATTGCTCATTCCTCAAATTAAAAGCCAGGATGACACCAGAAGAGGCTTTCCAATAGACAACTCCCTTCATGTAGTACCCACCACTAAGCAGATCCAAACAATCAAGCTCACAGCATATGGTGTCAGAGACTCTCCAGGAGCTTGACCTCGATGAGAAAATCTCAAAATAGACAATGGGATGATCAGGAAAAGTGACAGCACAGACAAGCTCATAAGTTTCATTAAAGTTCAATGGATGTGGTTCAAAAACAAGTACCATGGCTGCCTCAACTCCATGGTACAAGTTTGGCCTGGGAAGCATTTTCCATTGCTTGGTCACAGGATTGCAAATGTAGTAGACATTGTCCCCGACACTTTGACAACAAAGCAGACCATTGCAAGAGGTTCTGATATTGACAGGCTCAGGCAAGAACTTCAGAGAGGGATCAGGCATGCCATATGCATCTTGATTAAATGAGATGAAGGAAGGATCTTCACCAGGGAGTTGAAAAAAGAGGCCAGAAATGTTTTTGAAGTAAGTAGTTTGTCTGTGGGAAAAAAATGGACTGCTTATCCACTGATCCCATCCTCTGGAAACAGTTCTGAACTTACAGAGTGTTTTTGCAGGAAGAAAATGAAGAACATGGTCCCTCAAAACATCTTCTATGCGCACTTCCTTCTTCATGTTTATAAGTATGGGGGATCTGGCATAGGCCTCTGGCCTTTCAGCTGTGGACTTGAATGACAATATTGAAAGCTGAAATATGGAATAAAACTTATCATAAAAATATTTAACAAGGTTAAAAAGGGATTGGATGGGTCGGAGAAAGAGCAGGTTAACAAATTCCACCTCATTTACTTTCGACATATGGAGAAAAATTTATTAAATCAGGCCCATCTATCCAATCTATAAATGATTTTGTTGCCTACAGAAACAGATTAGCACTAAGAGCCGCAAAGCATAAGAAGTTATTTCAACGATCCAATGGATGTTACTTCATAGCTCAAACCATTCCAGACCTTTCAAATTACGAACCATAGCTTATAGAAGCTAACAGCAAAAACTCCCATCGACTTTGCCATGTTCTAAGTGAGAGTGAAAAAACATCTAAAAACATACCTCGTCTGAACTTTCGTCAGCGCCCGACTCTGAATCATCTTCAATTTTAATTAAACAAAAGTCAACTTCCATCTTTTCCTGATCGTCACTCTCCAAATCTGCCATGACCCAAGAATCACTATCTGCCATGACCCAAGAATCACTATCTGCCATAACCCAAGAATCACTATCCGAATCAGCCATGATCCTGCAGACAAAAGTTCAATTAATCAGTAAAAGGAAGGTCAAAATTGCACATAGAGCTTGGGATGTTACGATCTATGACAAGTCAACAACGCCAAAACTAAGCTTGTTATCATCCTCGACTGAAAGAAAAGATTTACAGAGGTTTATCAGAACAATTCAACCCAAGCCACATCTTACAATTGCATGGTTTACCTTGACAAGTATAACAAAGAAAATGAGCAAAAAAAAGAAATGAACAAAGTCAATCAAAAGAAGTTGAAATATGATCATAGAAATAAAGAAAGAAATAGCGAAGGAAGTTACAATCAACCGCTCTGCTTCAGATGAGATAGAAACTAATATAAATTAAATATATATTTGCCTGATCAACGAAAGATTAACCAAGAGTAGAGACAAAATGCTTGGTTGCAGTCAAAGTCAATTCTTTGGGCCCACACAGGCAAAATAGAACAAGTAAACACAAACTTGGCACGAAGTTTACGCTTTATTCCAACTTCTCGGAAACCAATTGGAAACTCAGTCGAAGAAAATTCTTCCCCTTTTCCACATTTTCTTACTTGTTTCTCATGTATTTTCTTGGCAAACAAACAAAGACAATCAAGAAAAATAAACTCCCAGAAAAAAATTATAAGTAATATATATACAAAGGCCATCGACGGAAACAGCAAAATTGAAGTCAAGTCAATTTTTTATGGGACCCACGAAAAATGAAAAAACAGAACATGTTAACAGAAACTCAAGCATGAAGTTCACACTCCCTTTTTGTTTTCTCAAACTAAACGGAACTTCAGTCGACGAAGTCCTTTATCTTTTCCGTACTTGTTCCCCTTTATTTTGTTAAGAAACAAACAATCCAGAAAAGAAACCTAACAAATATCAAACAAAACCGAGAAGCAGGTTTTAACCGAAAGAATCAACATCGTAGAAAATCAAAAGCCGAAAACGAGACGTAAAAACATCACCAAGAAAACCCCTAAAAGAAGAATACAGAGAGAAGATAGAGTTAAAGACTACAGAAGAGAGAGAGGAAGAGAGAATGAAACCTTGGAAATGAGTGAGGAGATTTTGATCAGTTCTCAAAGGGATAGTGTTGTGTGGAGCGAAGCGGAATCTGGCCCTCGCGGCTGATCAAAGCGTGTTAATATAGATGAGACTCACACGTGGCTTCTTCGTATTGGTTTCATGATTTTTCAACTTCATTTTCGGGGTGATGACCAAGAACTTGGTGGGAAAGTGGCTATTAATCGTAGACATTGATTCGCCCGCTGATTGTAAAAAGGTAAACTTGTGCAGCAAGCTTCTCACTCTCTCCAATTTTTTTTTCTGCAGAATAAAAGTAGCAATAAAACGCGAAATGTATTAGCCGTACACGTTTAAATTTATTTATCGACGTACAGGATATTCAACTTAAAATAAATAATCACAATTATCTTATCTAAATAAATACATAAATTTGATATTCGTTACATTATTATTGATTAAACATGATTATTTGTTAAATAATTTAATTTAATTTTTTTTATAATGGGTAGTGATTAGAGAACTACTTATGTTAAAGTTTGTTTCCACTTTTCTTGTACTAATATGCAAATCACGTCAAGTCCTACTAGATTTCTTAGTTGTCTCAATTCTTTACCCAATAACTTGTTACTTTGATAGTCCTTTTGACTAGGCTCGCCCTAAAGCAAGTCCTTAAAGGACCAGCAAAGTGCAATTAATGTACTATCCTTATCTTGATGAAAGGAGTTGTGAACAGAACCAGAACTACAGCTACTCACAGAGCATTGGGAGTATAAGAAGACAATCCTTACTACAAGCACCCAAAAAGAAAAAAAGAGAGAACACAGAAACATGTACCAAAAGGTTGCATTAATTTTATATCTTATCTTCCTGATTATAAGAATCTGAGATCGTTTGGTGTTCTTCTCAAAACCGGACAGTATCCCATTCGCAAGGGAAAAGAGGCTAACTAGAGCTCAACAAGGCTATTCACATAAACAACAATCCCTGCATCGGTATCAATGTTAACTTCACCCAAAGAATTAGAGACCTTTTTCTTCATGTCATAAGAATAAAATTTGTTCCCATTTCGAAGCAACACCGTGTCATCACCTATAAAAACCACACCTCCAGGACCATGGCCATATCTACCAGAAAAATGATAGGGAGTATAACTATAGGATTCTGCAGCCACTGTGGCATCCAGACTGACGTCAGATTGGATTTCTACCCAGGTCCTGGCATCGCTGTGCAATCGCATGGTATTCGAGTGAGTATTAGACAGCAAACTCACAACTAATCTCTGACCACGTACATAAGCTGCACAAAGCTTTCCATTCATCATGCCCAAGGCCCCAGGTGCAGAAGAGAGGAGCTGAGACCGCTCTGATGTGAGATCAAATGCAATAACTCCTTGACTCGACAGCCAATAAACAGTGCCGTTCACATGAACACCCGACTTAGGCAGGAGCTTCCAATCACCAAAGCAAATCTCACCAGGATTTCTCCATGATCCATTTTCAGAGGAATATATGTCAAACTCATATCCACCAAGTTCAGATGGAAAGGCACAAACCAGCTTATACCTAGCAATGAAGTTCAGCAATGATGGTTCAAATAGGAGCACTACAGCAGGGTCAGGCCCATGATCAGCATCTGGCTTTGGAAGTTCTTTCCACCGCTTGGAAACAGGATTGCAGATGTAGTAAGCCCGGTACTCAGTACGTCCCTGGCAACACAGTAGCCCATTGCAGGAGGCCCGAATATCAACAGGTTCAGGCAGAAATGTTAAAGATGGATCTGGAACACCATAAGCCATGGGGTCAAGAGACATGAATGACGGCACGCCTGCTTGTGTTTGATAAAAGAAACCAGAAGTAGAACGGAAAGAGTTTGATTGATTGTGAGCAAAGAACGGTGTTGATATTTGAAGCTCCCATTCCCGACAAACTCCAGTGCACCGAAAAAGCGATTTAGCAGGAAGGTAACGAAGTGCATTCTCCCTTATTATATCTTTTAAATCCATGTACATCTTGCAGTTATTGTTCGCACAGAAATTAGGCAGCATCTTTCCTTTATCCATTTTAACTCGAAGTTTCCCCACCTCACTCCTCAACCTGCAGCCTAACGTCAACAATTTATCAGAATTACTGTACAACATGATAACAGGAACAGGAAAAAAAGGGAAAACATGGAAATTACCTACCCACATGAATGGTTAAAATCTGAGACTAAGATATGAATACTAAAAAGTTATTCACAGTTCAAGGATGTGTCAAGGTGAGCACACTAATTCATTAAGAAAATCTACCTTTAGAAATCAGAAGGTGGGGTTTTTTGAGAAAAATCCTTCATGCTGACAAACATTTCCATTCTCACATATCAAAAAAAAAAAAAAATCAATTCCGACACGCTTAAAGTACTAGAATTCCGTATACCTCAATTACAGCCCGATATTGCTTTACTTTCTTTTCCAGTGTTCAGAAGTACACAAATTTAATAGCTGATATCCGTACATTAAAACAACCAATGATTTTGATCAAGAAAAAAGTTTTTTTCACTCTCTCCTATTTTCTCAGCAACCAAACACATCCTAACCACATCAACCTAATTCAAAGCTAAAAACTAAGAACTAAACCAAACAATCCAGATCCTACTTGTGCAAAAAGGACAAAAAAGAAAAAATGAAAACCAAAATAGAAAATAACTTAAAAGAGACAAAAAAACTGTATTAATTAGAAAGTTTTGACATCTACAGGAGCGTTTAACGAGATAATCAAAGATAAGACTGCGATTAAAACGAGGATGAGTGAGAAGCGATACCTCTTATTGCTTTTTGATCGAGACTTTGGAGAGAAGTTTTGATGAGAAGTTTCGATCGAGAAGAAAGTTTTTATTCTGTTTGGTTTCTTTTCTTTTTTTTTTTTACAGTATTGTGCAGTTTTGTTCTTATACAATGTCTGTTATGGATGGGTCTTTATATAACTACTGTAGTTGTGTTTCTTTTATTTATTTATTTTTTTGTCTGGATTTATAAGTTTTTAGTGTTCGCGTTTGTTTAGTGTTTGTGTTTGTTTAAATTTTTTTCTTAAATTTTGGTTGGGGAGGTGGATTAGGTCGATAATAGATTTTGTTTTAACATTATTTTTTTATTTTTTTAATGTTCTTCTAATTTTTTTATAAACTTCAGAATTTTTTTAATATTTATTAATTAATAATTAAAAAACAAAAGAATCTAAACCTTTCGTGATCCCTTCCCTCACCTCTTTAGCTGTTTACTTTTTGGCTATAGAATTCACATATAAACAACTCTGATATCTCTCCAAAAAAAGTCTAAATCGGGAGATCTTTGGATCTGACAATCGAGTTGTGCACAAAATTACCATAAAAAAGTCTTACAGTAACAAAGCAAATTCTCAATCAGAATGGGAGGTAAACATATTAGCAAATTCTTATATTGGTAGTTATAATTAATACTAAAAAACTATTCACAATTCAAAAATAAGTTAAAGTAGGCTAACTAAGAGATGTGCTTCATTAAAGTTACCAAAAGAAAAATTAATTTCAATTTGGACACAATTAAAGTAATTTCGTTTCCTTTTATCGCATCTTAATGTTCTTTACTCGTGGTTTGATCAATAATTCTTTTTTTTTTTTCATTTTAATCAAATTAGGGTTCATTTATTTTAATGTAAATTTTTTTTCGAATAACGTTTTCAAAACTTATACTTAGTTCGAAGATAAAAAATTTATTAAGAATGTAAAACATTTTACGGATAAATGAAAAAAATGAACAAAATTTTTTTATAATAGAAGTGTAAGTTTAATAAATATTAATATTTAATTTAAAATATTAAAATAATTTAAATTAAAAAAATAAAATTTAAAATTTTCAATACTATTAAAATTAAAATATCATTTAATGCAATTAAAATTTTTATTACATTATTTAATAAATATAGATATCTTACCAAATTGATAAATATTGATACAGATGAATTTTTTTAAAAAAATTAGAGTTTAGTATGGTTTGGAAAATGTCATTATTGATTTTATTAATTTTTATTTTCATTTTTAATTTTGATTTCAAATTAATAAAAACTAATATCATTGATTTGTAATAACTCTTATTTATCATGTTTAACATCAAAAAATTATTTTTTTACAAACTGATTCAAATAATAAAAAATATTTTTGACAATTTATTTAAATAATATAAAATATTAAAATTTTTAATAAAATATTTTACACAATTTTTTTCTTCAAACGTAGTTTAACACTTAAACTAAACAGATATGGTAAAAAAAGAAAAAAAAAAGAAAATAACTTAAAGGACACAAAATGCTGCATTAATTAGAAAGCTTTGACATTTAAAAATAGAAGCGTTAATAATCTAATTAACAAGATAATCAAAGATAATACAGCGATTAAAAGGAAATGAAAGCAGAATCATTAGAGAGAGAGCTTCAGTGAGAAGCGATACCTTGACGGGATATTTTTGTTTTGATGGTGTTGGTTGATCGACAAAGAAGCTATATGATCGAGACCTTGGAGAGAAGTTTATGATTCTATTTGGGCCTTGCTTTTGCTTACTGTATATAAAAGAACCGGACTCCAGCTTGACTGGAACTCCAAGTCTATAGGACTGTTTGGACATGCCGATTATGTAATCTATTACCGGATTATATAAAACTAGTGTTCTAGCTTATTAATTACAGAAATTTATTTAGAATATAAATATAGACTAATTTTTAGTAGGTTTTTTTGTATTGAAGGCATAAAAATGGGGAATAAAATAAATTTTGACTTTGTTGAAAGTTGGTAGATTTTTGTGAATGCTAGGAACATTTCTGGTCCATTTTTGCTGTGAATCAAAACCAACAAAGGGAAGAGAACCATAATAGATGAAAAATCGTTCTGACTCTAGATCAAATGGTTGCATGTTCTGCTCATTGTCTATTTGTAAAATCATTGTCTAGGCATCACTGTTGCAAATAGGCTAATAACCACTAAACTTGCAGATATGTACTCATATAGTGTCTATATATATACGTGTGTGTGTGTGTTAAGCAAACCGGTTGACAGAAAATGGAAAAAAGAAAGAAAAAAGAAATCCCATTACATAACTTCTTTACAATCTAATCAACTGTGGGAAAACAAAAAGAAGAATAGTTGCAGCTTGGAGCAAAAACCATGGCCACAAGCACAACATAGATATCTCCTTAGCCGAAGCACTGGTCACTTGGGAGAGGTCCTGGAATGGAACCGGTCTGAAAGAACTGCAACCCGAAAACGACCAGAATGGCGAGCAAAGACAGGAATGATAAACCTTCGACAGCACCCAACAACCCAAAAGGCCCATTAGGCAGACCAGAGCCAGTTTTGGCTTTCGTGTACAGAGACCAACCCACGATCCCCACGACTGCTAGGTAGCTCACACCTTCCAGTGCACCTATGGAGCCGCCTGGACCCGGGGGCAGACCACAACCCGTCGTCTTGAGCGTGTAAAGGGACCAGGCAATCACTGGGTTGGCAACCAGGCCACCGGCTATTGCTGCTTTCTCTATAACTCCATTGCCGCTTCCAGTGGTCTCCTCCGCCATGCCTAGCACTTTCAGCGGAGTCTGCAATCTTGGCCTTTTATATGTAACGATGAAACGATTGCGTTTTAGTGAAAGTAGGGAGGTGGATGCTGGTGATAGTAGAAGCATCTTTGAGGCATCCATGGCCAGAGGCGAAGAGAGCGAGAGGGGAAGTCCGCTTGGTGTCAGCCTATTTCTAGGGTGGAGCAGCCAATTTTGCTGATTGAGTTACTACCTTATCCACCCTTGCGAAACATGCCAAGTGGGGACTCGCGAGGGTCTTCATCAATCTTAGGCCATTCACCATTTATCTTCGAAAATTTTAAATTCTTTTCCATTAATACGAGACACGTGATGGATCTTCAAAGCAATTTTGATTTATGAGTTAAGCTAAATTACACTTGTCTAAATTACAAATATACAATACATTGTAATAATATCCATTTACTGACCAACAAGCTACCTCCTTTTTTTAAAATTTTGTTTTTCCTAATATAAAAGAAACAGTTGGTTTTACAAGCAACAAGCAATCAACGGAGATGCGAAACTTTACAATGAGAGAAGGGAGAGATCCTAGGGTAATCAACGGTACCATCATATATTCACAGAAAAGAATCTGTCAATCCCATGTCACACATGACCGTGAGACGAAAGGAAAAATGTACCTGATCCTTATTAGCTATCAACCTCTACTGAATGCCCTGATAGCCACATGGCCTACGTCCCTCAGCTCATAAATAAAAACCATTCGACCAATTACAGCTTGACATGTGGTATACTTAAAGTACCAAGCTGGTCAACTGCCCGAAGCCCACTTGACTTCAATAGGGGAGCCGAGGATCACAACCATGCACAATCGTTTTTATGACTGAACCTTTCAAAAAAAAAAAAAAAGAAACGCGAACCCCCCACCCCTCCCGCTTGGCCAAAGACGAAAAAACAAAGATTTTTATCAAGTTCTCTTTTCCCTCCATTCTTTCCCTTTAGAAATACAAGACTCCCGACTCCTGAGAGCTGAACATGGGCGGTAAAACCTTTATAACTGCCATTTGAATTAACAAATAGTAACGGCTATATAAGATAGAGCAAGCGGGAGAAAAAGGCTAACGACTTTTCGAACTAAGGCATGTACCACCCAAGATACAATTCCTTTTCACCTAAACATTTGTCCAATAACACAGCCAACATCACTACCGAGACTGACTCTATCAACCAATCTAACATCAAGTTTCCCCTGTTTCCAAGCTTTTTAAGCATTAATAAAACATCTAACTCAGGAAATTCAGAAAGAGCTAACGATGCTTCTTCGATGCCTTTGCAAACTCAACAACATCGTCTTCCTCCTCGTCATCCTCAACATCATCGTCCTTCTCAGCATCATCACTTCTCTTTCTCTTAAGATGTGAAGACGATGGCAGCACCTGAACTTCCTCATCATCTTCAACTTCCTCCTCCACTTCTGCATCATCTTCTTCATTCCCTGGGTCCATATCACTACCTCCAGCATCATGTTCTTCAGCCTGGCCCACTGGTTGAACCAGGTAACCTTCACCAAAGTCTTCATCCTGACATTCCATTCAAGAACAATGAGTTAAAACAATTTAATTATTTCATCAAAAGTATCGCAATCACCACAATAAAATGACATTTAAAGCATAAAAAGAGAACTATATTCAAAACAAAGATTATACCAGACACCTAAGACTTGAAAACAGAAAAAAAAATTAATCAGCACTGCAATCAGCCAAACAATCCAGACAGACCCTTAAACCCTCCTCTTCAATCCCCTTCCAACACACTCAACCTTCCAAAACAAAACAAAAAGCAGTAGTTCTATTCTTCTGCACAGCAACACATGTTAGCCAAAATAGCTCATAACTGAGATGTTAATAATTACAGTTATATCGAACAATTGATGAACTAAGCTATTACAACAACACAACCAGAAATACTCACATGCCAATAATTTTTTCAAATGATATATAATAAGAAGTTTCTAATCCCTGAGCAAAGGCTACTCCACCAAGAAAGTAATATGCATGCATAAAAAAAGCCAAAAAAGTTAAAAGCAAGGGATGAGATTATCAACTAAAATTTCCAAAAAACTCCATAATCCCCTCAAGATAATACAGAACATCATTGACAAAGCAGCCGCTGCATTAGAAAGATGCTTATCAGCTTTACAACTGCACTTTAACTGCAATCCACAGAACACAAAGTTGCCAACCAAATTGCCATGGATTTCTATATAAACTGCTCAGTAAACCAAAGTACCATTCTCACAGAACCAGAAGACAAAAAAAAAACTTAAACATTAAAAAAAATTGAATCAACTCAAGGAAAATTATTTTAGAGAGAGAGCTGAAAATTTTCTGACGCTAGAGTCATAACAAGATAAGGCACACGTCACCCACACAGGACAAGTTAACAACTATATTCTCATGACAAAAACTTGCTCAACAAGGGACTAAACCACACTTTAAAGACAAAAAACTCAATTCACCTTTTCTGGATTATTTGCTCAGGTAAAGAGCACATATGACAACAAAGATCAATAGCTGAGGAAGGGTTGATATATGACAACAAAGATCAATGTTTCCAGAAAAACATTTGACAAGGCTCGCTCTAAATTAAAAATCCAAAACCAGTATGCTTTGAAGTAATTTTTGTACTGTCCTCACCCAGTAAAGACTTACTAGAATGACTGTGAACATGACTTGAAAATTAGAACTAATCAACTAGAAACAACCAGATATATTATCAAGAAAATAAAGTATAAAATCACCAAAAAAGCATGTTAAAAAGGATAAAAAAAGTGTGTATATGAGCTCTTTCACAGGGAAAAAAATAATCCACATATATGATTTGTATGAACAAAATTAATCAGAGTAACAAAACGCTTGACTGTGAATAAAAGCCTACATACTTAAAGCGCAAAATTCATGGCTAGTAGCAAGACAGAAACACAGCACTCATTCTCCTCTTGGAGGTTTTAGAGCAACATAAGCACACAGCAACAAGCGTATACGCCAAATATAGTTTCTGTTAAGATCTATAAGACCAAGAAAAAAAATTATAACCAACGTTGTAGAGATTCCACAAGTAATAGCAAAAAACAGCATTCAGAGCTTAGCAGCACAGCCATGTCGTCTACCTCTCTTGACAAATCTAAAAAGGCCATTTCAATCAAACAATCAACCCAATACAGCAGACAAACACAAACACAAACAGTAAGCAGAAAGTACAAATTAATACACATCAATTAGACTAAACCAGAAGCTTGTTGCAAGCAATAAGGAATCTCACCTCATCTTCACCCTCTTCTTCATCGTCAAATTCCCCATCATCTTCAACACCTTGCTCTTCCTCACCAGTCTCACCATTATCATCTTCATCCCCATCATCTTCTCCATGTTCATGCCCATCAATCTCCCCTTCTGTGCTCGTCAAACGCCCAGTACTCTCCGGCTCAGCAAAATCACCTTCATCGTTATCTACCTCTTCCTCCTCATCATCCTCGTCGTCGTCGTCATCCTCATCATCCTCTACCCCATCTTCCTCATCATCACTATCCCCAATCTCATGAACTTCCACAACATCATCTTCTTCCTCATAATCATCATCAACTTCCTCACCTGAATCATTCTCATCATCATCATCATCCTCTTCGTCTTCATCTTCATCTCTCCCTACTTCCTCAATCCGAAACCCGTTAGCCTCATGGCTTTGCCCATTTACTCTTCTACCTGTCTCTGTCTCTTCTTCATCCGCATCGCTCTCTTCATCCTCATCAACATCAACAATCCCTTCCCCTCCTTCACTATGCCCGTTATTTATTCTGTACGGCCTATCCTCACCGTCGATTTCCCCACTCCCAGGATCATCTTCATCTTCTTCCTCTTCATCGTCCTCCTCATCATCCGACTCCGGCCTTTCATTCTCCTCCGCATCCATTTTATCCAAATATTTTAACGATTTTATTAACCCAAAAACCCTAGATCGATAATCCTTAACTCTGGTAACGGGACACTCATAAAGATCGAGGGAGACAAGCTTAAGCTGGGCAAGCGGGGCAAGATCCTCGATATATTGAATCCGATTGTTGGACAGGTCGAGGTCTCGGAGCGAGTCGAGGCCAGCTTCGACGAGGAACTCGAGGCCACCAGCGATTCTGTTATCGGAAAGGATGAGTTTCTGGAGATTTCGGAGACGAGGAAACTGTTCTAGAGATGAAACGCCGATGTTGGCGATGGAAAGATGTTGAAGATTCTCGAATTTTTCCAACAGACTCGGCGGTGGGAGACGACCCTGAACGCACTTCACCGCACCGTCAAGTGTTAAGGTTCGAGTCGCCGCGTGGTCCGTTTGCCCGTCTAAAGCTGTCTCCACCGCTCTCTCCCAGATCTCGTCCATCAAATACGGCGCCGTTTTATCTCATATACCCCTATTTATATAAACAAATATTGAATTCGAGCTTCTTCACCTATATTTCGAAAGAAATAAATGGATTTAAAGGGATGGTTCAAAACGGAAGAGATTGAGGAGTGTCATTCCAATAAAAAGAAAACAGTAAACAGAAATTCAAAGAAAGGAAGCTTAAAAATGGCGAAAAACAGAAAGGAAACCCTAACCCTAGATTTTTGAAGATCGAGAGTAGGTTTGGCTTTTAATCTGTTTCAACCGCTTAAAACCCTAGAGATTTTTTCCAGACGTACGGACTCAGTTCTTTCAAGTTACAAGCGCTTGAGAAGGAGAAGCACACAAATGTAAATTTAAAAAAAAAATAGAAACCTGATTTTGATTTCCTCTCTTCCTCTCTCTCTCACTTTTCTTTTTTTTTTCCTTTTTTTGATTTTCTTCGTTTCTTATTGGTTAAGGACGGGCGAGTCGGGATAAACCTAAGAGAGAAAAAGTGGGGGTCGTTGTTCCTGGCTAGGGTTAAGGGCGCGGTTTTGTTTAAGGGAGAGGGGGGTGGATTTGTGAATTATTGGAGTGAGATGAGCCGTTGGTTCGAGGAGGACACGGATCGCTGACGTGGACAATTGAACGGTGGAGATTATAGGTAGGTGTGTTTGTTCTCGAGAAGGATGTAAGTAGCTGAGAGAGAATGAGCTGGGCCGCAGGGCCTCGCCATGTTTGACACGTCACTTTGCGTGTAAATATCTGGGCGGGTTTAAAGTAATGCCATTGAATTTCCAAGAAATTTCGGAAATGCCATCCCAGTTATGGACAGCTGAGTTAGCTAAGCATTACGAGCGATTGATGATAGTTCAAAATATCGAGAGTCACGTCTGAGTCTGACAGATCACGGGCCCTGGCCTGCCATTTTTAAACCCAAAAGTTCAAAATCAAAATAAATTCTTTGGATTCCATGCTTTCCTTCTTCCGCCTACCATAACAAATTCATGCATTCTAGCACAAGCACGATTATGGGTAAGGCAGGTATATAGATAGAAACAACTCTAACCTCATACTACTAAGTATGATGTTCCACAACAATTTATACCAAAGAGAGAAAGGGACAAGTTCTATTTTTACTTATGAGTCTCCACTCTGATTGGCATATTTACTTCCATTTTGGCTCCCGGGTCCTTTGAGTTCTGCATAACCTGGTGGCAACTTTGGCGGATGCACTATTGGCATGTTCGGAGTTGATGAGGGTGGTGATCGAAATGGCCAAGTGATTGTGCTCACATTTGAAGCTGGAGTCGTTGAGAACTGGCTTGGCCTTAGAGAACTAGTAGCACCCTTGCTATCGATCTTGGGCTTATCTCCCTTTTGCTCCAACTCTGGACAGCTTGTTTGTGCCTCGTTGATGTCTGCTCGAATGATGGTTTGGTTTCTGTCTCCTGCTGTCCTAACACCAGGTGGCCCAAACTGAAGCCAGGGCTGCCTGTAATGTGGTGGCCGGTTCAACATAGCAGTATGGGTTCCAGAAGGGTTGCCGTTGCTTTCTGCATCATCCTTACCTCTAGCTTGAAGGCCAGGTTCTGACGTTTCATTCGGCTTATTTGGTTTGGAGTCTTGCTGCTTATCTCTCTCCACTGACGAAGTCAGGTCAATTGGATCAACTCTAGGCCCTGAAGATCTGCCTGTGGCAATTGTAGTTGTGGGAAATGCTTTCTCTGGAGGGACAGCCGGAGTATAATTTGATGGAAGTAGATCATCCCAATTTTCTAATAGTTCCTTGTAGACTTTTCGGAGGGTGACCTCCGTGAGACCCGTCACCTTACAAATCTCAGCCTGTGTCTTGCGTTTGTCTTCTAATTGGCATGCCAGATATATAGCAGCTGCAGAGATACTAATTGGATTCCTCCGAGTGCAGAAGCATTTGTTGATAACAACTTCTCCAATATGAGTTGCCAGCTCCTGAAAAAAAATTAAGACTCCATTACAGCCATCTTCAATCAAAAAGAAAACCTACTAGCAGGAGCTTAGAAAAACAACTGAATCAACCATCATTTCTTAAAAGAATAGGTAGGCACCACAACTTGATATATACATCCATATTCTTCAGCCACCATAAATAGATACCAAGAAATTATACACTGTAAAATTCAATTATGATCATATTATAAACTTTTCTGACAATTTGCATACATTTCAAGATAATCTCTCACATGTAACCAATTTTGACGTTCTTTTTAAATTTATCTGCAACATCTTCCATTGTAATTATCAAAGCATAAGCATATAGAAAGGGTTATAACTTCTAATAGCTACAATTCACCTTCATCAACTAAAATAACTAGGCCCAAGCAGTGACTCTTAATTGTACCTGTGCAGATTTGTTGAGCTGGAGGAGAGTACAAAATCTTGGCATATGGACTGATATAGAATTACTATTGATGGGCTGACTTAGTTGTAGAGCTTCTCCCAATATCTTTATGTACTTGCCAATCTCTTTCTGCGGTACATTGGCAGCAATGGAAATTTCCTGCCATTTTAGAACAGTCCTTAGAGATGCTTTAGAATAAAAGAAACGGGGAAAAATTACATGCGAAGAAAAACATGTAAGATGAGCAATGCTTTACTGTCTACCCTACATAACCAACATCTCTGTTAGTAATCAACACTCCCTCTTAAATTTTCCCATTTAAGGGCTCAAAATACTAAAAAAACATTGAAAATAAAACAAGAAGCATTTCATTTCAAGAATTTAAGAGACTCACTCTCAGGAGTTCTATACTTTAAGACTCTAGGTTTTCTTATATACTTATTTACCACCTCAATTCCTCATAAATGTTTACCCACGCACAGTCATCATTACCTTGATTTACCTTAAGGGTTGCCAGGTTCTCTGATCAATCCCAACTCTCTATTTCCTCTCTTCATTTTCATACCAGTCCACTTCTCCACATTATTATTAATAAGAGCAACCATGCCACCACCTCGCACGAAACTGAAATCTCATGTAATAGTGAAGAATGATACCTAAGGAACCTTAGCCTTGTCTTAAAACAAAGTCACAAGAGATACAAGTACAATACTTTATAAGAAAGGTATCTCTGGACTACTAATCACATATAGATCCTGCATACAATACTTCAGGGTAAGACTACAAGATGCAAATCCCAAACTCCAGAAGTGGTAGTTGAGAGTTTAAGTATAGCACACAATTAGCTTCTTATCACTCATTTTCTTTCTCAATTCTCACGAGAATTGATCCTAAGCAACAAAAATTTGCAAACACTTGAAACATATAAATATGCATTACCACATTATTTACAGCTATTTTACAACAAAATTGTATCCCATCTTTCTAAACTAGACAATGAAACTTAAATCAATTCAAACGGCCATAAAAACGATCTCAACTATGTGAGCCAAATGCAGGCCCTCTTAAGGCATTGAAAATCCAATTCCTAGTTGTGATAACAATATTAACTTACTATAATTTCAACCAAATTTAACTTACCATCATTAACATGAACAATTCGAATGTAAAACCTCACTTAATCAACAGAAACGGTAATTCAACAAAAAAGAAGTACGAGTGTCAGTATATGTATAGTTATAAAACAGAAATGTGTGAAATACCTGGAGGGTTCGGGGCTCTTGAGCTTCCCTAATGGCCTGAACAAGAGCAGCAGTAGCAAGCGCCTCAACACTCCGGTTCCTCAAACAAGTGGCCGAACAACAATCCCTAAACAACTGAAACGCGTGATCTGATATGTCGCAATCCAACCCCAAAATCGACGCCACGTCAATAATCTGCATATACGCCCTCAAATTATCCACCACAACCGTCGACGATGACGTAGACGATGGCGCCGAAGACGAAGAAAGTTCCAGAGTCCGTTCGAGCTCGGCGAGGTGGCCGGAAAAGGAGAGAGAGGAACGGAGGAAGAGTGGGCTGGGCTCGAGGGACCATGTGGAAAACGCCGTGATAAACCCCGTGGGCTCAAACGGGTCGTCTTCGTCGACTTGGAAGGCGGAAGCGGGAGCGGGGATGTCGGAGGTGACGAGGCAGAGAGGGGTGTCCTGAGCACGCACGTGGAAGAGGTGGTGGTTCTGGAATTGGCGTTCTTCCACGACTCGACCGCACGAGGTGCACTCTGTTATAGACCTGCCCGTGGTCGTCGTGGCGCACCGACCTTGCGCCGCCGAGCAATATGGACACTTCATCGGTGGTTGATTTGTTTGTTACTGTGTCTAACAACCGCGTGAAAAAAAATATACGAGAGCGGACCAGCATTTATTTATTTATAATTACAATTTAATTTCAAATTTCTTTATTTCAAAACTTATTGGAGTGTAAGCCACTAAATTGCCCATTTTATGCTACAGTATCAATAGTTAAAATTGAACAATTAATTTTTCAAGAATTGTAATTCTTCAGTCCTCACACGGTCCGATGATAATACTATTTGGAGTGAAAAAACAGCTTTCTCTTCTTAACAATAATCCAATTTAATTAGCTTGGAGCAAGGTTCTACCCCTGTTTCGCTGCCCGTGCCGGCCGGGTATGAAGAAAGACTTGGTAAGAGAAAGAATCTGGCATTACTTGGATACATGCAAAAGAAATCTCTTCAAAATTTTCTCGCTTCCATTTATCAGGCTAAGGAAGATGATTGTTTCAGTTTTACCATCCACAGGACAAGATCGTGACAGCAAAATTTTTAAAAAGAATTGGCAGCCTAACTAAGTAAATACATAGTTTGTTGCTGTGAGAAAAATGTGAACAACTATGGTTTTGCCGACCACTACCTCTGACAAACTTGGGCAGCACACGAGCAACTGAGAGTTACAAAAACAATAAAAAGGCTTGGAAAGCCTCGGATCCAGCATTCTTCACATCATTGACCACTTCCGATATAGGCTACCTTGGATCCTCCTTTCCCTGATAGTTTCAGACCCTTGCTCAGTTCCCTTGCGTTCTGCCAACATAAACAAAGTAAACAAGCGAGGCCAATACAAAGTTAATTTCCATGCATGTCTCGCTCTAACAACATAAAACAGCAGTTAAACGACAAAAAATAAAGTATTTAACATTTCTGTAACTCCAATTGTTTCTACAATCTAACCCACCTTAAGAATTAGAATGAATAAAGATATTCTACCCTCTGATTGAATCATGATATAAAGTTCTCTACTACGGAATCATTCGTTCAGACATTGAATGCCATAGAGTTTAATCACCACGTAAACTAAACATTGAAAGAAGGAAAACTTGTGGGCAGGGTCTTGGAGATGGTTCACACTTTTCAATCCAGAATTCAATTCTATTAATTCAATAATGAGCATTCAATACCATCCACCCATGACCACACAATACCTCATAATCTTTTAGATAAAAAGGTTCTGTGATCTAGAACATCCCTACCGTTCATCAAATGTAACTTGAT